CACACCCTTTTATTGGATCAAATGTATTGAAAAATTTGTATTGATGATCAGTCAAAATCTTAAGGGGATTTGAAAGCTGTTTTCTAGTCGGTGTAAATTTTTATAGGAGCTCTTGTACGGGTTGTTTTTTGGGCATCATTACCAATGCTAATACACATAACAAATCTAAACAATCTCTTTAGAAACCCTTTGATAACAATGAAATGATTTCACATTTTGTTTTTTTTGTAGAGTCCATGGAATAAATTTTTTCAAGATAATGAGTTACGATTAACAATAAAACAAGATGTCATCAGAACGTTAGTATTTGACATGTTTCTAGTTAAAGCAATTATATTGGCCTGGGGGCATTGAATTATCACTATGATTTTTGACATAGATAAAAGTAACTGGAGAAGCAAGAGTTTAGACAACTTTGTCCCCTTCACAGGAAATGAAAGAATTATAAAACTATGAATAGTTGATATGAAATGATAGGGTCATCATATGTAATATCTTACAATTCAGTATAGTGAACAATATAGGAGTGAAATATTTGTGTACTGATGATATATGAAATTATTGATTTGCAGGTATCCAAAGATTGAGTTTTTTCAATCAAATCAGATGAGAAACTTGATGGTTGATATTTTATTTATTTTTGCGAAAGAAAATCCTGAAATATCGTATCGCCAGGTCAGGGGCAGATAACTCTGTAGATGTTGTGTTATGTGTTGATACTACCCCTAACTAAATGAATGTTGTTCAGTTTTGCTGCTTTGTGTTGTTGTTTGATTATTGTATATTAAGATGAATTTCTACATTTTTAATCTTACTGCTATGAAAGAAAAATATGATATTATGATAGAGTAATGACATCATTGAAATATAAATTTAAAATCTGTGAATTAAAGATTAGAAAATTCTATTTATCAGAAGAGTTTAATGATTTTATTTGCAAAACTTATATTTTGTATCAATATTTCAAAATTTGTAAATGAAATAAAAAGCGTTGAGAAGCAAGATCAAGTTTTAGTATTATGTAGGCTAACATGTTTCAATAACGATATTTATAACAATGCTTGTGTAATGGATGAAGAAAGCATTCATCATAATCATTCATGGACCCATTGCAAAGTTACAAATAATGTTGTTTAAAGATATAACATCAGTAAGATTTGAAATCCGTCTTAAACCCAATCTTAAAAGATTTTTTTCAGAGAACCCAACTCATTCTTCTACAGATATTTTGAAGCACATTGTTTTATATTTTAAGTTTATTTATTATTTTCTTTATTTTCTGTAGTTTTCCTGAGTTAGAATTTTTTAAATGTGAAAAATTACGAGAAATGATGCTTGATATTTTGTTTTGTTATAGTCGAACACATGAAAATATTTCTTATAAACAGGTAGATAATGTCTTTTAGTTTCTTTCAAAACTGTAGTAACTTCTTTGTAGTAGTTTTTACTTTAATGCATGTGACTGACAATACGTAATGAAATCCATATTGTTATTTAACACTGTGCATGATGCTGATTTCTTAGTAGTATTTCACTCTATATATTCTCTTGTTGTTTGCATAGCTAACTATGATATGCATTAAAATATTGGAAAATGCTTAAAGGACTGTATTTGTAAATTGCAATATACAGCATTTCTTTTATAGCATAAATAAGTTGGGCATGAGCTCAACTGTTAATGTTATAATTATTTACCATTTAAGGAGCCATTCTTTTGTCAAACAAGGAATTGCACCATTTACAGTTGTATTATAATGTACTAAAAGCCTAAACTGAGCCTTAACTAGCTTTGAAGTTTCTGACACTCTTTAAATAGAACAGAGAATGTTTTGGTTAAGAATAAAGTAGGTGAAATGTTGAGGTTACCCCATAGCTGTTTAATATAGCCTTATGTAGTTCAACGGTCATAGCATGGTTTTAATCCCATGTGAAATTTTGCCAAAGAATCAGATTTTAAAAGATTTTTTTTTTAATATCTTTTATAGACTGACATTACTGTTGTCATAATGGTATGTTATTTATCTTACAGGGAATGCATGAATTACTGGCACCATTGATATTTGTCTTACATTGTGATCATCAAGCCTTTCAACATGCTTGTGAAATAGAGAGTATAGAGTAAGTACATACTTTACTACCTTCAGCTATCATTAACATTTACTTGATAATCTTGACTAATTGGGATGCCTGTTGATATTGTAGAAATATATCTTCTAATTTAGTTATATACTAGTTTGCTCTTATGCAAAGAAATTTAACCAGCAATGTATTTTGGCAGTAGGACCATGTTAAGAATGTAGACTTTGATAATAAATATAATTAAGTGTTGTATTTTTATCTTGAGGTAGGAATTATAAAATGAGACCAATCAGACCTTTGAGCGTCTTTTCAGCTTAAAAGTCTTTTACTACCGCTCATAAGCTATAAATTTTAATTGATAATTGAAAGAAATTGTATTTGAGTTGAAGATATCTTAAGATTTATTGTGTTCAAATTAAAAAGACATTTACTTAAAAGGTCTCTTTAACACCCCGAAAATCTCCTTTTGACCATATATCTTATTCAGAAGGAAGATAGTCTACAAATCTTTAAAGTGATTTAGATGTTACAGAAGAATAAGTCTTTGAATATAGTCTCTGTCTTTTTATCTGGGACATTGTTTTGCAACCCTCATGTTTTTGTATTTATGTTTATTGTGTGTATATTGTAGTTGTCAATAGTTTGTGTTATATTACCGTAGTTGTCTGTTTAGATGTTGTAGCATATATGTTTTATTTTCAGCCTAATACCTTATCATTTCAGGTCAGATTTCATTCATTTTTCCTCGTTTCTCCCTTTTCCTGCCTTTTTTCTGTGGGTATCTTTGTTCTTGGTTTAGTTGTGTTAAAATGTTAAATTCAATTTGGGAATTACTTTTGTTTTGTCATAGTGGATGTTCGTTTCTCTTTTATGTTCTTTAATGCATGTTATCATTACTTCTAGTCCTTAAGTTAAGATTGGTAATTTAAATTTCTGATATTTTTTAAATTTTCATTCTTTTTTTTCTGATTAGTCCAAATGTTCTGGGTATTTCTAGCAGAATTTTTCCAGCATAATCAATTTTAAAAAAAAATTCACTATAAAATAGAATGCTAGTCTTCAAAAAGTTGCTTTGGACAAGAATATTCTTATCAATGAATGAATGTTAATTGGGCATAGAATAAAAGTTGTATTTTCACTAACCAGAATTTCAGTTCCTCCCTTGCACCTACTATAGAAGAAAGAAAAAAAGAATTTTTTAGTTATGCCTATTTATTAACCATCTGTTCGGTTGATGTATTTTGTATCTGGAACACATGTAGACCACATACAATAACTTATTAATAGAATATAGTATATCATATATAAATTGTGATTATTGTCAGATTTATTAATTAATTCCTATATTTATTTATAGAGAAGTGATAAAAGAAGTCATGAATCCAACATTTTTAGAACATGATGCTTAGTAAGTATAATTTGATGTAGCCTACAGTTGGTCATTGGATATTGCATGTGTTTGTCAACATCTCATTATATTTAAAAGAATCTTAAAATAGTACTCCAATGTTTTATTTTGTGGTGCAGTATTGTTTAATTGAAGTCCATCATTGATATTAATGTGTTATTCTTTCAGTGCAATATTTTGCCAAGTTTTACAAACTGTTGAACCATGGTATATGTCTCGAGATTTTGTTCTTACTCAGAGGGTAGGTAGTTTTTTACCCTTCTTCATCACTTCATTTCACAACATTTCACATCATTTCATAGTGGTGTAATGTAGCCTAATTTTGTGCTGATATTTCTGATAATTCATTAATTTCAATGAATGTTTTACTACTAAGAAAGAATGAATTTGATAGACATAACAGAATATGATTACATATGATTGTATTCATTTTTATTTTAGGGAAAAGACTTCCTCAATGCTCAACCATTCGCCAAATGTCAGGATTTAAATCCTTCTAATGTTATAGTTAATAAATTAACCCGAATACAGGATTATATTTTAAAACGTCATGATTCAGAATTACATTTACATTTAGAGAGACTTGAAATAGCTCCACAGATCTATGGCATGTAAGTATTATTAGATATCAGGTTAAACATTCTAATCACCTATTCCACCATTACTTGCATGCAGATTTCAATTTTTTGATAAAATAAGCATTCAGTAGTTTCAAAACTGAAATTAATGATTCTTGTGGATAAAATAATTTTGTCACCTATAACAGACTTGTTTCAAGCCCGTAACTGCTATAAAATTATTGTAAAGTTGGTCTAGGTCAGTGTTCTCTTCCTTTGCTGAAATGTGCAATGATTTGTTAGAGGTTAGGGTAGTTGAAATATAAACAATTACCTTTCAACAATAGGCACTGGCACGGAGGTAAATTGACACTTGTATGCATAGAAAAGTAAAAGTAAAATGTTTTGAAAGTTCAGATACATAATAATTTTATTGCAGACGCTGGGTAAGATTATTATTTGGTAGAGAATTTCCAATGCAAGATTTATTGATGTTATGGGATGCTATATTTGCTGATTCTATTGGTTTTGATTTAGTAGACTATATATTTGTTGCTATGTTACTCTATATTAGAGATTTATGTAAGTATATTATATCTCAATCAGTTTTTTATACGCCCACACGTAAGATATATTATATCACCTCGGTCCGTCCATCCGTTCACATTTGGCTCGTGCTCACTCTACAGGCTACAGTTCTTTATGGATTCTTTTGATTTTTATTTTGTATGTCAATGTTGTTATGAAGATGATCCCTATTGATTTTCGTGAAGATCGGATAATTTTTCACCGAAATATCGTGTCTGACTTAACGTTTTTCTCTATTAGCTATATTGTGCAACTCATGCTCACTCTACAGGCTACAATTTTTTACAGATTCTTCTGATTTTTATTTTGTATGTCTATGTCGCTATGAAGATGATCCCTATTGATTTTCATGATGATCGGATAATTTTTCACCGAAATATCGTGTCTGACCTGACGTTTTACTCTATTAGCTATATTGTGCAACTTGTGCTCACTCTACAGGCTACAATTGTTTACAGATTCTTTTGATTTTTATTTTGTATGTCAATGTCATTATGAAGATGATCCCTATTGATTTTCGCGATGATCGGATAATATTTCACCGAAATATCGTGTCTGACTTGACGTTTCACTCTATTAGCTATATTGTGCAACCCTGTAGTCACTAAAGACTGTTTAATCATTTCTGACAGCTGCCAGTGGGATGTATGTTACCTTGCCTGGCAAGCTATCTTCTTAAATGTCACTATTGTAAATTGTCTATGCTTGACTATGCATTACCTGTAAGTCCTATGCCAGAACATACATTTTTTTATATAGCTCAGAAATGGTTGCTTCTATTTCTACAATTTCAGTATTATTCAGTGATTATGCTATAATTTGTACAATTTCTGTATTATCCAGTGATTATGCTATAAATTGTACAATTTCAGTATTATCTAGTGATTATGCTATAATTTGTACATTTCAGTGCTAGCCAGTGATTATGTTATAATTTGTACAATTTCAGTATTATTCAGTGATTATGCTATAATTTGTACAATTTCTGTATTATCCAGTGATTATGCTATAAATTGTACAATTTCGGTATTATCCAGTGATTATGCTATAATTTGTACATTTCAGTGCTAGCCAGTGATTATGTTATAATTTCTACAATTTCAGTATTATTCAGTGATTATGCTATAATTTGTACAATTTCAATATTATCCAGTGATTATGCTATAATTTGTACATTTCAGTGCTAGCCAGTGATTATGTTATAATTTGTACATTTCAGTGCTAGCCAGTGATTATGTTATAATTTGTACATTTCAGTGCTATCCAGTGATTATGCGACATGTTTAAGTATATTAATGAAGTTTCCACCAGTACCGGATGTCCAGTACTTTATTACTAAATCATTATACCTTAGAGAACCAAATGTAAGTTTCACTTTATAGCTTAATCTATAATCAAAGGCTTTAATGACCAGTGAGTTTTTTCAAATATGCTTAAGAATTTTTTTATCTAAAAAAGATGACATGTTATTGGAGTGGCATGGCTTCCTGATTCAGTGACAAAGCAATGTTATAAATAATATTTCTACAATTTACTATTAAAACTCATTCATTTCATTTTTTTACAATTTTTCTATTTGTCAGCAATACCCAAGACCACCAAACTATACATACCAAACAGTTAATAATATGCATAGTAAAGCTAGACAATTAAAAGGTTTGTACATATTTTCTCAATATTTTATGTTTGGAGTTTTTAATTTTAAGGAATTTGACTGTTTTCTATGGTTATTGGACATTAAGCCAAGGTGATAAGGAGAGGATTCATGTTGAGCAAAACTGCTTTTAAAATTTAAATTATGTACATGATAATATATTAATGTTAAGTTGTAATGTGTGTTTTAATTTCCTATAGGATTGCTCTAATGGGTAATCCGTGATGGATTAGATAGTCAGATAAAAGTTATTGCTTTATCTTAATACTGGCTTAAGAATAGGTCAAATATATTTGATATATAAATATTTTCTAAATGATTAATCTGTGTATGCCAATTTTGAGAAGGGGATTGCTTTATGTATTTTATTAACGTTTATATCTTCCAGCTTTATTATATATATATGAAAACCCTTATAGACTAAATTTACCATATAAAATGGGTATAAAGACCATATTTATGATCCATTCAGGACTGCTGATATGATATTTACCCTGCCAGGCCAATAATGTCAATTTATTATTTCTCAATATGGTAGCTTATGTTTAGAGATGTAGCATTCTTTTGATATATGGCAGCTCAATTTTATAGAATTCTGATTGATGTGTCTAGCAGTGGTAGTCAAATCAACAGTCCTGTATATGTGCATGGGGTTTGATCTCACATTTGAAATAAAAGTGTTAGCTTGTCAACAATCTTTTTCTGGTCAGAAGTCATAGGGTTTGATGTGCACATCATTTATATATTTTGAATGTATTGGTTAATGACTCAGTCTTTAAACTCTTTGAATGAGCTTGATTCATTGTGGTTACAGTTCTAATTACCTTTATGATCAAATCATTATAAGGATCATTTATTTATTCTATTTAGCCAATCACTCATCTAGAGGAAAACATACAGCAGGTTTGGGTGGTTTCTCTACATTTTCGCGACGATTTAATCGACCCAAAACATTGGCTGTTTCGACATCTAAAAAGCTTCCCAAGTCTTCAAGTGAACCGATGAATTTACAAACTGAAATGTCACCAGGTAGCCTGTTTATATCGGTGTTTCTGTAGTTTTCTAGATAGATAAGATACTTTTGATTTATTTGATATATTATGTAAACCCTTTAATTTCCTTTATGAATTGAAACCTATAGTTTGTATTAAAACCTTCATTTGGTGTACCTATTGCATTAACTTTGCTTAATTATGTGTTATTTCAGTGTAAAGCCATCATTTCTTTTGTTTATTTATAATATGCACACCATTGCTTAGTTTTAATTATTATTTGAAAATCTATTTTTTTTATTCGCCCACATTATAATGTGTAAATTGCAAATAAAAGTGAGAGTTGAATGAAAACAATCATGAACATGATTAATGGTGATCTTAGTTGTAAAAAAAACTATGATGCTTTGACAGGATGAAGATATGAGACTTTAAATGATAAAACTTCTGTCAAAATAAAATGACGATTTTTCAATGAATGGAATTTGAGTTATTGCCCTTGTCTTAGTAAAATGCATAAAAATTTGTTGGCAGTTAATGTCCAAATTTTATGAAATTTTGTGTGCTTGATTAAAATCAATATCTTGTATAAATTAGATTTTTGGTATGATTCGACACAGATGGGCGACTGCCTTTGATATACTGAAAATTTATCAGGCGTTAGGCAACCACTTGTTTAAGTTTAACCTTTAGTTTCTTTCCCAACCATGCTTGACTAATGTTAAATGTATTATTTCTTTACGTTTTGGTTTTCATTCATTTTCACCATGTCATTTACTTTACTGCATATTGATTTTTAATTTTTGTTTTATCAACAAACCTATAACTTTTAGGTGTATTTGTGTGCTTCCACCATTCTAATTCTTTATATTAGTTGATGGAGATTTTAATTATGAATATTTCTTTCTAATGTATGTAAATAACTATAAAATTGCAAGGATCAAGATTATTGATAACTTTCCTATAAGAAATTCAAAAAGCTAACTCTTCATTTCACTAGCTATATTAATACAGAATAAAGCTTTGAAGACAAATTATATATCATAAATAAGATGCTCCAAGATATTGCTGGTAATAAGGAGCACGATCAAACAACAGATTTCAACCATTTGTTATAGCTTATTGTTAAACAAATATAACACTCAATATTTCTGAAACCTTGTTTTCAACATGTTGGGGAGCAAACTTTATCACAAATATGCAAACAGGGAATAATATTCTTCCTCTATTATTTTTACAGCCAGTCCGAATCCACCACATGAAAAGCGTGGATCTACAGCCAGTTTACCAGTTCAAGATACCTTACATCAAACTCCTTCAGCCTCTAGTCTATTAAGATTAGAAACAGCTAGTCTAAGATCATTTCAATCTAGTCCTGCTGGTTATAGTCCAGGAGCTATCAGTGAGAATGAGTCAATACAGAGTTCTCCTACCAAATATTCAACATTACCATCTCGAGGGGCTGGAAATAGAAATAGACAGAAAAAGATGTCTTTAAAAGCAGTAAGTCTTTTTATTATCGAAAATCATTGCTTTTCTGCGTGTAATTGACCTATGCTTGGATCAAACTCACTGAGCCTCTACAGTTTCCTTGATCAGCCAAATAAGGAATCATAACTGAATATATACACTCGGTCGTATGTTTCAACAGCTTTTACACAATTGTAATAAATAAATGACAGAAAAGTTTCTAAAACATGGAAGTATTTCTTACAATTGTGTCAATATACTTTTAAAATCAATAATCTTGAAAATGTCATGACCGTTTCAGGAAAATAACATTCAACACCAAGTGTCTCATCTTCAAGGTGAATTAAATGAGAAAGATACCATGGCTAGATATTGTTCTAGTAAACTAGATGTACATATTGGACGTTTACAAAGTGAATTGCAACAAATAGATATGGATCAAAACGAAGAGATATTTTTAGCAATAGCTGGTATCAAACAAGTGAGTTCAATAATTTTTTTTCAATTTTACAAACTCCTATATACAACATGTCAGTAAATTTCATGTTAAATGCAAAATTATTTTCTTATGTCATAAGTAATAATTGTTTGACATGTTGGGCAAGGTTAAAGTATGAATTTTAAATGGTTTGTGTTGATATGTGCCCTTGAATACTCTTTAACAAATAAAGACATAATTTAGCATACATTAATTTCATAAAAATTGAGGTGACTGGACAGACTTCTATGTTCATTCGTTTGCCATACAAATGAAGGTGCACAGAAACACTTCTCAAGCATTTATATCAAGAGATATAGAGTAGTAGGTAGTTTAATCATATTATTAATTTTTTATTGACAGGTCAGAGATGTTTTGAATGGAACTTTAAAATTTTCCCGAAATTTACTTGATGAAGAGGATATAAGTATATATGATAATCATTATAAAGATGACACCGTTGTTATGACACCAGATTCAGATATTGCCATGACAACTGAACCAGATCAGAGACGTGAAATCCTCAGTAAAAGGCAGAAAATGTTCTATCAAAGTAGTGAATCAGAAACTGCTGAATCCCCTGAACCTTATAACGGTGTTTTGAGACCACGAACTGAATTTGAACTGGACGATTATGATAAGCATGATAAATCAAGGGGAGGTTACTCTTGTAAAAACATTGTAGAATCAACATTGTCTGATACACAAACAAGTGAAAGTAAAAGTGTAACTCCAGACTGTGTTTCAGACAACCTTAATCCTTTATATAGAGTTGAATCCTGGGATGAACTGGAAGCATAGCATGGCTGAGTCAGTTTTTGACATTAAATGAAGACTCTAATTAAGTGGTGCCAATATATATTCTTATGGAAACTCAAACTGAAACTAACTAGAGCATGTGGTAGTGATTTAACAATACCTGTCAATTTATATCTTGACAAAAATCTGATATATAGATGGAAATTTAAAATAAACCTAGCAGAAGAGATAAATTTGAAACATTTATTAATTTATTGATATCAAAAGGTGTAAAGTAGTGTGTTGTAGTAACCAATATTTGTAGCTTATAGTGCTCAACTTTCATGTGAAAACTGGTGCAATATTATTTATTGATTGTTTATTTTTAAATTGAGATAAATATTGAGATAATATAGTATAGTGTTGTGACATGATAGAAATGTAAACTGGCTTAAAAATTAAAAATTACGTTGATCATTTATATGCTATTTATGGAAAGATACAAAGTCTTTATTAGTTCTTCTTTCAATATCATATGAAAACAAAACCTCTTTTTATGCAAGTTATAACAAGAAGGGTTTTGACTATCAATATAAAAAAAAGAAATACAATAACAAAATATTTTCACCGTTAAAATAGTGATCAATACATCAATATAAAAACAGAATCTGTTCTTACTCAGAGTTTTACTCTTTGTGGTTTTCAGTCACCACACTTATTTCAGCCATGTCCCTATTTCTAAATAAATCTTTCTTCTTTATGCAGTAGATTCTGTTTCTATGGTTAGCTTATCTTCAACAATTTTACTTTTTTTATACACCTTTTACAGAATATTTTCTTGAAAATAACTTCTAGCTAAATCATTTGATTGCCTTAACAATACAAAATATATGTGAAATATGTTTTCATCTATATTGTTCTTTTCCTAAGACAATAAAACTGAAAATTTAACAGAGAGTTAAAATTTAATTCTTGAGCACAAATTCAATAACTTCATGTCTAAGAATAAATGAAGATATTTGAGATCTGCATTTTGATTATATCTGTTTCAATCAGTTTGAGTATATGTATCAAAAGTAAAGAATTTTCATATTTCATATTTCAAATTAATTGCATAAGTTGCTTCGACATTTTCTTTGGCATTAGGAAGTAAATTATAAATAATTATACTATCTAATTAATTAATTGATCTAATTATGTTTAATTGTTTAAATCATGTGATAATGTTATTGTTTACTACCAGAAAAGGCTTCTGTGGTTTAAATTGATTATATATTATTATTGTTATTGTTGTTACAATATTTTGTTAAGTTTGTTTTCTTTAACAGATTTTTTTTTTAATTTTCAATTGAATTATTAATAAAAATGTATCTAAGTTGTTATTTATTTCATATTCACTTTAGACAAAATTATATGGACTTCCAATCATTGGTCATTTACGATTTTCTCATCCATCAATAATCAATATCCTTCAAGAAACTGGTCCCTGTTATTGACAAGCTTCGATGAGAAATGCTTCTAGAAAAGTTTACTCCAGCCTGTTGCCCAAGTGATGCCCCAGTAAAAACAGTCCAAAAATTATAATGATTATGTAAGACCATACAAAGAATTTGTAAGACTGTTCTTTAACGGCATGTAAAAGTAGTAGGCCTATAATAAGTCACCTTTCCTCTAATTCTAGTGGTTTTTACTAAATTCTAAAGGTTTAGGTGTGTGAATACGACAAAATGAATAATAATACAATTTGTAGATTATGCAGTGCAAAGCCAAAGCAAAGGGGAGCAAGCACAACTGGGAATTTTAGGGCCGCCTGACAGATTTATAATAACATCATTATCATGACAAGGCGTCATGATAAAACAAATTATAAGTTGGCAAATCGTATAAATTATTGAATTTTCTAATACGTCATCAAATATTACGTATGAGTGAACCCGACACGACACAACACAAGCATTTTGCCCAAGGCGAGACCGAATGATTGTAGCGCCTCCTGTAAAATTTCCAAACCAATGAAAATACAACGAGCTTGTGGACGTGTCACGCGTCATATTCCACTTCCGGTGTATATAGACTAAACAAATTCAACAAGATCATTATCAATATTTTTAGACCTCTTTGAAATAGGTAAGTAATATTTAGAAGAATCATTACGTACTTGTTACGGAGGATATATATTTCTGGAAATATTTTCAAAGTTTGAAGAGATTTAGAGAGATTACATCAGATATTATTTACCATATTGATGCCTTACCTTACGACAAGTGAAGTTTCCATCTCAATCTGCTTTTATTTCTAACATTTTATCTAGTTAAGTTCTATAGCATCTTCTACGTTTACAAAATGTCTTCAGTTTTTTTTAATAATGCATAAATTTTGTACGACCATTATTGTTTGTTTTTCTGAATAGAATTTTCATAAATGGGTGCAACAGTCTTTGGAGATTTAACTTACAAACAGAGAAGAATTTTCAATCAAAAATTGGGTTATTTTCATGATCAATCAATAAAGAGTAAAAAATTATTGTTTAAATAATTGATTTTCCATTGTAGAGTAAACTTAAATCATGGATCAGGTTATGCAAGTAGTTGAACCTGCCAAACAGTTCGTAAAAGACTCGATTCGTTTAGTCAACAGATGTACAAAACCAGATAGGAAAGGTAAAGTCTATTAATTTTCATGGTTCCATATGATCCTGTACAATGTATGTTGATGTCATTGGTTTAGTGTCAGAAATTTGATATCAAACTGAATGAGGTTACATTATATTATTGGAAAAGAATTAAAACTGAACTTAATTTCTTTTCTAGCTTTGACTTGAGATCACAATTTTATCATGAATATTTTTCATTCTTATTTTTTGTAATTTTCTTTTTCAGAATTTCAGAAAATTGCTATGGCCACAGCTATTGGATTCTGTATCATGGGCTTTATTGGTTTCTTTGTTAAACTTATCCACATTCCAATCAATAACATTATTGTGTAAGTATATTTATCAGTATGATGACTATCTTATCATTTTGTTGAAGTCTAATCTAGATACAAGAGCATGGATCTGTTTTGTATTGATGTTAGCTCACTAAATATGGCACTAATGTTGCTGCAATATCTATGTCATATCATTTTTTAACAAGGGTATCTTTTATCTTTTCAGAGGATCCTAAGAAATGTAATAATGTCTAGTCTACGAATCATCATTATCAACTTACCAATTTTGCTCATCAATAGGATTTATGGGGGAAAAGTATTTCGAATAAAAGACAAAATCATTCAGACTTACTGTGGCAACATTGTGTATTCTGTCAGTTATACCAAATAAACCAGACATTTTTGCAGGCAAGGGTGTTAAAATGTTACATGGATTTTGTAAAAATTGTATTTAAGGAAATAAAATTATTGTCATATTTTAATTTTGTCTTTTGTTTCTTGTCTTCTACATTCTGCTATATAGTTTTAGGACAAAGTGAACAAATAATTCAGCTTCATTTCACTGATGTCTTCTGAAAGAATGCTGTCTGCATATTTTTGTTGGTAAATTTTGCAGATTATTTTTTTAACATCAACAGAAGTTTCTCTGAGAGAATGGTGTTTTTAAACAACTTACTGAATACAATTTACTGACAAAAGTGTGGCAAGATTAACTCAATGACAAGGTGCTTGTCCATAACTGGATTGAGCAGAAAATCGACACATGTAACAAATCAAATTTATTTACACTTACAATAATCACAGTCACTACTTTCTTTTCTTCTTATCATCTCTCTTAGCTTTCTTGGCCGGCTCAGCATACCTAGCTTCCAACTGAGCAAAAAAGTCATCAGAGGAAGCCTTTCTGGACTGTTGACGTTTTTTGATTAAAGCAGTTAATGAATCTTCATCACTAATACCTAATTTTTTAGCATGAGCTTCAGCTTCTTTAGCCTCTTCATCAGCCTAAAATACATCAATCAAACACAATTCAAAGTAAGAAACAAAAGGTTATTAAGTTATTTATTACTTTGGATATTCAAACAATTCCTATGAACAAAAAAATTGTATCAATAATTAACAAAGGTTAAAATTCCTGTTCTTATTCTCAAACTGGTTGAAGGTATAATAATCTCACAATAAGAATTTATTTGAAGCTGATGACAAACAAACATCTGAACTGTAACTGTAGGAACAAAAATGATGAATGCCAAACTAATAATATAATATACAAGGCAGAAGTCACAGACACTTTCATTGATGAAGTGAAACTCTGAATAATATGATCATTTAGGTTCTGTTTTAATATTTCTATATCTCTACAATTGATTTATTGAGTACCGTAGTATTTTAACAGTGAGAATTTTTGGTCATTGTTTTGTTATTATAAACCTTTTAATTAAATAAACAATATCACTGACTCTGTTAGTTAACCATTAATAAACCTGTTATATAATAAATTTGAAAAAAGGAATTTTCTTTTCTTAGCTGTGGCTTTTCAGTTAAAACACAGGTTACATCGTTTGGTTTTATTTGTGTAGACTCTAGTTCCGTTATCAATGGACTGGGATATTTTGTAAAACTAACCTTTTGTTTTCTAGCAGATTTCTTGGACTTCTTTTCATTGGTAAAGTTTTTAAATTTTGGTAATTCCTTCTTTTTAATGAGATCTTTCAAAATTTGTTCAAATCTAGGTTCATCCTCTATAGAAGCACATAAAACACTATCAATAATAACACCCATATCACCTTCAGATTCCACATAGGCTTCCTTTAAATCTTTTAATTCTTCTTCAGATCCTGGGATATTAAAAGAGCATTATAAAATCTTATCAACAAATAACTATTTTCAGTCTATTGATGGATTATAGTGTCTTAAAAATTAACAAGTGTATATATATGGTATCTGCCTTAACTGTTTAATGATACCAATTTCTGTTAATTTATGATTGCTATTAAGTTCGTCATTACCATGATGACAGTAATTTCCAAGTTGCCCTGCAATTTGCTATAAACATTGCCATAAATATCTGATAAGTGTATCTGCTCATTGTGTCTATTCATCATTGTAGGGTTATAGTTAATTTGGCACCTAACCAAAATGTCCCAAAATTTAGTCGAAATGGCCCCTAAAACTTGGTCAAAATGGCCCCTGGAAAAGGTCAAGATAGCTTGCCAGGCAAGGTAATATACATCCACTGGCAGCTTTGATTTCAAATAAAAATATTTGGCAGTACAGAAACAATTACCAGCATGAAATATTCAACCTTCAGACATACACTTCTTTAGAACTTTTTGAGGCGTTACTGAATAATATTACCAAGTTTCATCAAAATCTGTCAAGAATTGGGCCTTCATATAAAGATAGCTTGCCAGGCATGATTAAATTAAATTTTCTTATTTGTTAACCAAAATAGTTTCTCAGGAAAATAATGACATCTATTGTAAATTGTGATTATGAACAAAAAAATTGTGACTTGTACAGTCTGTCAAGAATTGTGCCTCCTAGAGTGTTTACGAGCTAAAAATTGAATGCGTTTTCAAGAACAAGGGCAATAATTCATACTACATATTTTCGATTTCGCTGATTTTCAATAGGGTTTATCCTTGGGTGATTACAAACACTCATACGAAGTTTCGTTAAAATCCATCAAGAATTGTGCCCTGTAAAATGATTACGAGCTAAAAATTGAACGTGTTTTCAAGAACAAGGGCAATAATTCATACTAAATATTTTTTGATGACATCTATTGTAAATTGTGATTATGAACAAAAAAATTGTGACTTGTACAGTCTGTCAAGAATTGTGCCTTCTACAGTGTTTACGAGCTAAAAATTCAAGAACAAGGGCAATAATTCATACTAAATATTTTTTGATGACATCTATTGTAAATTGTGATTATGAACAAAAAAATTGTGACTTGTACAGTCTGTCAAGAATTGTGCCTTCTAGAGTGTTTACGAGCTAAAAATTGAACGGTTTGCAAGAACAAGGGCAATAATTCAAACTAAATATATTTCGATTTCGCTGATTTTCAATAGGGTTTATCCTTGGGTGATTACAAACACTCATACAAAGTTTCGTTAAAATCCATCAAGAATTGTGCCTTCTAGAGTGATTACGAGCTAAAAATTGAACGTGTTTTCAAGAACAAGGGCAATAATTCATACTAAATATTTTTTGATTTCGCTGATTTTCAATAGGGTTTATCCTTGGGTGATTACGAACACTCATAACAAGTTCCGTTAAAATCCTTCAAGAATTGTGCCTTCTAGAGTGTTTACGAGCTAAAAATTGAACACGTTTTCAATGACAAGGGCAATAATTCATACTAAATATATTTCGATTTCGCTGATTTTCAATAGGGTTTATCCTTGGGTGATTACGAACACTCATACCAAGTTCCGTTAAAATCCTTCAAGAATTATGCCTTCTAGAGTGTTTACGAGCTAAAAATTGAACGCGTTTTCAAGAACAAGGGCAATAATTCATACTTAATATTTTTCGATTTCGCTGATTTTCAATAGGGTCTATCCTTGGGTGATAACGAACACTCATACCAAGTTTCGTCAAAATCTGTCAAGAATTGTGCCTTCTAGAGTGTTTACGAGCTAAAAATTGAACGCGTTTGCAAGAACAAGTGCAATAATTCATACTAAATATTTTTCGATTTCACTGATTTTCAATAGGGTTTATCCTTGGGTGATTACGAACACTCTTACCAAGTTTCGTTAAAATCCTTCAAGAATTATGCCTTCTAGAGTGTTTACGAGCTAAAAATTAACAAGGGCAATAATTCATGCTAAATATTTTTCAATTTCGCTGATTTTCAATAGGGTTTATCCTTGGGTGATTGCGAACACACATACTAAGTTTCGTTAAAATCCGTCAAGAATTGTGCCCTGTAGAGTGTTTACGAGCAATTGTTGACGGACGGACGGACAAGGGTGACGACAATATACGCCCCCCATTTCATGTGGGCGTATAAAAATGGAATGAACATTGATTGCTAATTTAAAGAGCATTTCATAGGAGTTCAATATAAGAATAGTTATTGATTTAGCTTACTGCATGAACAATGCATAAGGAATAGGGCTTTTCAAACTTGCAATTTGGATCTCAGTATCTAACAATGCGGCCATACCTTGATATTTTTGTTTATAATTCTTGATGTCCTTCATGGTAATCTGTTGAAACAATAATCTCCAATAATCGTACCAATCTCTGTCTTGAGTCACATCATTTTCTTCATCAATATCTCCTAGCAATAGAATAAATAGCATTGTGATTTCACAATCTAATCCACAATCACATGACATCATAAACGAATAAACTTACAGCTGTTTTTCTACCTATGAATTTACCTAAGGTTAACCCAATCTCCTACTTTCCCTGATCTGGTTTTACAATTTGCAGGACATTAAGCCTAGATGACTGTTCCAAATTTACAACCTAATTACTGATGAAGATCATTTTTTTTAGTGGCTAAACTTATCTCCATGTAATCAGATAGGAAGGACATTTTTTCTTCCATTCTTATGATTTAAGCCTTTACATCATATCATTAGTAAATTTCAATTCTAGCAAAATAGAAAGACATTGTGAACATTTTATTGCCGGAATAAAACAATTTATTGCCAAGCAAAATAATATGTTTGTTTGAAGTCATATTAATTGTATCGTTTCGTGCGAGCAAATTGATAAATAAATAAACTAACCAGTTTCATCATAAATATCTCTTTGACTTGGGTCAGAAAGAATATTATAAACACGACCTAATGTTTGGAATTTTATTGTAGCTTCTTCTTTCTCATTTTCATCTACTCTGTCTGGATGAACTTTTAAAGACTGACGATGATAACCCTTCTTTACTGAAATCAAAATACATTCAGACAATATAATTATTTTATCACTAAAATCAACTAACAGTATGTCACCCAAGAAACATAGGCTGCTCTAACAATATCTGTACATTTACCTGGTATCATCAATAATAATATTATGATGTGGTTTATTTGTCCACTTTGTTTAGCTCGTTGAATATATTCTCACTAGGCTAGGCTGTCTCTAGTGTAAGATAAACAATAAATGCTATGCTATTTTCAGCCTGAACAGTAGGTCAATGTAGTCAGAGAGAAGCTGAATGTATCAAAACTGGCAAACAATAATAATAAGGTAACAGAAATAATTTCACAAGACAAGAAAAACTAACATTCTTTTTCTGATGCTTTCTTATCGACATGGAGAACTTTGTACAGATTATCTGTTCCAAAATATTCTCTACAATCTTTCAATAATGTCATTTTTTTACGGAATAAATGTCAGTTCGATTTTTGCCCATAAGATTTTAACTATTTTCTCTGCATATTTCTCTTAAACTACAACCCGCCAATATTTCTTGTTTACAATAACACTCTTATTTACCTCCCGCATTGAAGAGTTCAAGCCTTGCTTATCCAGTTTTTATCTCAATGTGCATTTTATATTTTGACATTCGAGACTACAAAGAATTTTCAAAGTATCAAAAAGCTCAATACCCCCCTCCCTTGCAAAATTCGAACAGATCCTCTATCAGCTATTGCACCCCCCCCCCC